GATGTTTTGTGGAAATTTATAAATGGATCATAAAATTTCTATGACATGAAAATCCTAAAATAGCTAACATTTTTGAATAAGAATAAAGTTGGAGGATTTGAACTCTCTGATATTAAGTCTGACTGTAAAATTACAATAATCAGCACCGATTGGCAAAGTGATTGACAAACTCATCAATGGAAAATAGCGTCCAGAAACAGAGCCATCTACTACATTGTCATTTGATTTTTAAAGAATGTACTGATGGGTATGAGGGGGAGAGGGAGGGAGTGATGGGCATGGAGGAGGGCACTTGTGGGGATGAGCACTGAGTGTTATATGGAAACCAACTTGACAATAAACTATTTTTTAAAAAAAGGAATGTACCAAAGGAGTGCCTGGGTGGTTCAGTCAGTTAAGCATCTCACTCTTAATCTCAGCTCAGGTCTTAATCTCAGGGCTGTGAATTCAAGCCCCGTATTGGGCTCCACGCTGCGGGGGAAGCCCACTTAAAGAAAATGGTAATATACTAAACATTTCAACTGAAAGGCAGAGATGATCAGAATGGATACAAAAGCAAGACACAACTATATGCTATTTATAAGAGGTCCACTTTCAATTTAAAGATACAGATCAGCTGAAAGTAAATAAATAGAGAGCATATTAGATGCATGTGATATGTTCACCATAATCACATGCTGGAGCATAAAACAAGTCTTTGTATATTTAAATGTATTGAAATAATTCTACTTATGTTCTCAAACCACCATAAGCTGTTGAGGGAAACAGCAAATGCTTTTAAATTAAAAATCACAATTCTAAACTGTCCATGGGTCAAAGAAAAAAATCACAAGAAAAATTGGAAATGTTTTAAACTGAACAATTATGAAAATATACCCTATCACATCTTGCATGATGCAGGAAAAACTCTGCTGAAAAGAAAAAAAATTAGCCTTTTATCCTTATATTGGAAAACAAGGAGGTTCTGAAAATTAGTGATGAATAGTAAAGAAATTAGAGGAATTGTTAAATTAAACAAAAAGAAAGAAGGGTGCTCGGGTGTTTCGGTTGGCTGAATGTCTGACTTCAGCTCAGGTCATTGTCTCGCAGTTTGTGAATTGGAGCCCTGCATTGGGCTCTGTGCTGACAGCTTGGAGCCTGGAGCCTGCTTTGGATTCTGTGTCTCCCTCTCCCTCTGACCCAACCCCACTTGCTCTCTCTCTCTCTCTCTCTCAAAAATAAACATTTTAAAAAATGTGTTTTTTTTTTAAAAGAAAGAGGATTAAAAAGATAAAAGTGGAAATCATTGGAAAAGAGAAAAGCTACAGGAGAGAAAACTTAAAGCCAAAAGCCATTTCTTTAAAGAGATCAAAGAAAGTGATAGACATTTTATTAGTATGATTAAGAAAAAGAGAGAGAACACATCTTACCAACATGGGAAATTAAAATGTGTATTACTACTGATTCTGAAAACACACTAAGAAAATATAAACTATAGTAGTCTGCCAGTCTGTTTAGCATCTTAGATTAAATGAACAAATTTCTTTAAAAATACAACTTACCAAAACTGATATTAAGGAAAATGGGACACACGAATGCCCTCTATTTATCAGAGGAGTTTAATTTTTCTGATCAAAAATCTTCCCACAGTGAAAACCCTAGGATCAGATGATTTCACTGCTGAATTTTGTCAAACATCCTGGGAAGAAATCACATCAGTCTAATAGAAGGTATTTCAGAAAGTAGAAGGGACACTTTCTAACTAGTTTTAGAGGTCCAACTTAACTGATATTCCTGAACCATACAAAGACATTACAAAAATAAAAGAGGAAATTATGGACTTACATTCTTTATGTACAAAGACACAAAAATTATGACAAAGTATTAGCAAATCAAAACCAGTGATGTCTAAGAAGGCCAAATATTATGACATATATTGATCTATTGAGTGAGGTTTATCTCGGGAGTGAAAATACTTCCTTAACGTTCAAACCTCAAACAATATAATTCATCCTACTGGTAACCATCTGTGTATTCTGTGCAGTTACGAGTCTGTTTCTTGGTTTGTCTCTTTTTCCCCCCTTGTTGCTAATTTTTTTTGTTTGTTTCTTAAATTCCACGTATAAGTGAAATCGTGTGGTTGATATCTGGAAGATCTGGGGGATCATGGAAGGGCTATTGTAACTTCACTAGGAGACAGCAGTGTTCACCGAACAGCTTTTAGAACAATTTGATGAAACACCATGGCGGTGTCTTCCAGAGAGCAAGTGGCGGAAAACTCTAGCGAAAACAATGAAGAGCAGCCAAACTCCATCCAGGGAATACATTAGTTGAAGATGGAAGAACTGGCCTTTCTTCTCTGGTGTAAGAATATAGGAGGCTGCCCCCTCCATCCTGGGTATCATCTCCAACGGGCCAATTAGCTTCCCCCAAATCCCTGCCTGTGGATGATTACACAGCCTCCTACCCTGTTCAAGAACAACTACACGGAGACTGTTTTGTGGTACCTGAAGGAGCAAATATGATGGATCGTAAGCGCACTGTGTTTCCAAACTACCTTCCTCATCACAGGCCTGCAGCTGGTACTTTGGGAATGGTGGGAGCTGGTTTGGGGTTTGCCACTGTAGCCTCTAGAGTGGCTGAGATAGAAGCCCAGGGCAGCGCGTCTTCTGCGGAAGGGGACAGTGCATTTTGGTCTTCTGCATGCAGATGGAAACCGTCTGCAGGTGCCACTTGCCCATTGTGCTTTTGGTGGTGATTAGCAGTGGGATTCATCAAAGTTTCGAAGCAGATCCTTGGAACGAAATGTTCAAATTTGGAGACACTACTGGAGTGGCCTCTCCAGTCTGTCTTCTGCCAAACTCACATTATAAGCAGATTATAGCTGTGTTTTTTGGAGGCAACGAGTATCTTGTATAAACACCAGAAGAACTCCAAAAATCAAGCCAGAGCTTGGCAGACACCCCTAAGCCCTCTTTTATCAATGTCACGACTAAGCCGTGAGCCACACAGAAGGCCCAGGATTCTCACTGGCCAACCCACTGTAATGCATAAATAAAGATGCCAGAGAGTGGTCTTGAGGACTTTTCTCTTTCTTCTAAGATGGAATTATATTTTCCACAGCAAAATTGCTAAAATATTAAAATAAATACCATTTAGGGGCGCCTGGGTGGCTCAGTGGGTTAAGCATCCGACTTTGGCTCAGGTCACGATCTTGCGATGTGGGTTCGAGGCCCGCGTTGGGCTCTGTGCTGACAGCTCAGAGCCTGGAGCCTGCTTCAGATTCTGTGTCTCCCTCTCTCTCTGCCCCTTTCCCGCTCCTGCTCTCTCTCTCTCTCTCAAAAATGGATAAACGTTAAAAAAAATTTTTTTAAATAACATTTATAAATGAGACAAAAATGTATAATTCATCTTAGCAACAGAACGATTATGTGATTTCACTAGATGTAGCTTTAATGACATTTTTAAAATATATAACAGGTTTAAACAGAGACTAGAAACAGGGGAAGGAAGAAGCGTTCTGAACAAGAAAGTGGATAGTGGTAGAATGGAAGGTAAAGATGGCAGACAGAATGAGAAAGTCTATTATTTGTCCAATGGGAACTCCAGAAGAAGAGGATAAAGAGAACCTATTGACAATAAAGAAATAATAATGGAGATTTGTCCAAATTGGTGGAAGTTATGCATTCTGAGATTAAAGAATATAACAGGTCTTTAGCCAGATGAAAAAATATACCTTCCTCTAAACAAATGTTCACTGTAGGAAATCAAGACAGGTACCCTGAATGTTACCCGAGGGTGGGGACACGGACACAGAACACCTGCAGACAGTTACACCATGTGTACTTCCAAAGTAATAATAACCATCCAGAAGTCAATGAGATGTATGCGGTTTATCAAAGAATCATCACCATTAAATGAGAATTCCATATTCATCTGGAACAGTATTAAAAAGTGAGGATGAGTGAGTTAAAAAACCGAGTTAGAGGGGCACCTGGGTGGCTCAGTCAGTTACGCGTCCGACTTCAGCTCAGGTCATGATCTCACGGTCTGTGAGTCTGAGCCCCACATCAGCACAGAGCCTGGAGCCTGCTTCGAATTCTGTGTCTCCCCCTCTCTCTTCTCTTCTGCTTATATTCTCTCTCTCTACCAAAAAGAAACAAACATTAAAAAAATTTTTAAAAAATTAAAACACACACACACACAAACAAAAACAGAGCTAGAAGAAGTTTGTATCCTTGAAAGAATTACTGAGAATTGAACTCCAGCCAAAGAGAGTGGAAGCAGGAAAACTGAGCAGAAGAAACAGATCCCAAAAGTAGAAGTGGACAAAGAACCACTGGTAAAATACTGCGGATAATTTAAATAAATAGTAACACTTAAAGGTATTAATGACAATGGTTCTAATAATAATCAAAGAATTTCAACGAAATAAGATGAAAGATAGGAAAGGGGAAATATATCAGAGCTAATGTCCTATTGTTAAAAGACAAGACACAAAAGACTTAAAAAACTTTTTTAGGGTTTATTTTTGAGAGAGAGAGAGATAGCTTAAGTGAGGGGTGTGCAGGGAGAGGGGGGGACAGAATCTGAAGCAGGCTCCTGATTCTGAGCTGTCAGCAGGGCTCGAACTCATGAACTGTGAGATCGTGACCTGAGCTGAAGTCAGATACTGACCTGTGTCAGACAGAGATACCCAGGCGCCCCTAGACATTTTATTTATGTGGTGCTAAAAACATCATTTGCCAGCACTTAAAATTCAAGAGCTTTCTCATAAAATGTGACTTTCCATTAATTTGCATACACATTTTGTAAAATTTAACTTAATCACTAGGAGACCATACACAGAAAGAAAGTTTCTAAGACAATCGAGGAAAGTAGAAAAGCCTTAAGCCTGGTCCATGGAAGGGGTGTTATGAAAGGAGAAAAATGGAGAACAAGAAGAAAAGAAAGCATGGTAATAGAATTAGCAATTCCCATGTGTATCTGATCTCTTTTAACTTGTTATTCACACTTTCTAGGAGGATGGAGAACCGCTTTTACAGCCAAACAGGAACTATAACGCAAAGAACTCATTTTACAAGTCCTCGACACAAAAGTAAGCATTTTTCCCAATAGAATTTTGATTTTGAAATGTATTTCTTTTGGGGCACCTGGGTGGCTCAGTCGGTTGAGCATCCGACTCAATTTTGGCTCAGGTCATCATCCTAGGGTTGTAGGATTGAGTCCGGTGTCGGGCTCTGCACTCAGCACAGAGCCTGCTTGGGATTCTCTTTCTCTTTCTCTCCCTGTGTGCCCCCCCATTCTCTCTCTCTAAAATAAAAAAATTAAAATTAAAAATAATATATTTCTTCCATCCTTTGTGACACATCCCCTTTGTGTCCACAACGTCCTAGATTCTATGAGTAATTCAGAAAACATCAGACAAAGATATTTACTCACTCACATTGATGACTGAAATGAAACAGGTCAAGGGGGAGTCTTAAAGAAAATGTATGTGTAATAGAAGCATAAAACCAAAACATAAAGGAAATGGCCAGAGAGAGGAGGAGATAAGAATACAGGAAAACAAGATCCGAGAAAGCCTTAAGGGGTTTATTTACCCAGTCAGAAACCATATTCACCTCTTGCAATGTGTCTGTGCCTTAGGCTATGAGGTTTGTCAGGGAATAAGGCAGACAAAGGTCTCTGTTCTCAAAGAGCTCTCATTCTAAAGGGAGATGGACAATGAGCACAAAGATAGCACAAAAAGAGCTTGTATCCTAGAAGGCGATGAGTCTGTGGAAACATAGAAGAGAAAAGGTAGAATGGAAAGAGAGCATCTGGAGGGCCCTGTGTATGGGGGGTAGGCTTCTGTAGTGAATGGGATATGGGGGTGGGGGAGCACTCCTTAAGTGATGGGGTTTGAGAGGAGCTCGGAAGGCATAAGGGAGTGACTTGCAGATGTCTGGAATGAGCATTTTCCAGGCAGAGGGAATATACAGCAGTTTGGATAGCCTGTGTCGGAATTATACACAGGGTCAGGGAAGAAGAGAGGGCTAGGGTACCCGGAGCAGAGTAAGGGAGACATCAGGAAGAGAAGATGAGAAAATGCAGCAAGTGCCCAGAAGCAGATGTCCAGGGGCATTTTAATCAACTGTAAATGCCAAGGCTTTTTCTCTGAGGGAGGTGAAGATGTAGCAGGGAAGTGAAGATGTAGCAGAGAAGTAGCAAGATCAGCCTTGCACATGGTGGCCGCTGTGTCCCCAGCCAACTGGGTCAGGGAGAATTGGGAGGCTTCTATAGAGGTCAGGTCAGGGTGGCTTATTGGAAAGGTGGTAGGAAGGTGTCAGCTGTGGTTGGCTCTTGGATATATTTTAAGAGTAGAGCCGACACAGTTTCCACATTGGAGGTCATGAGGGTCAAGGAAATAGGAGTCAAGAACAATTCTAAGGCTTCAGGTAAAGCAGCCAGATGGACTGAGATCGCCCGTTACTTCAACACAGAGCAAGCATGGGAGCGAGTTTGGAGGGAAAGGTCAGAAGTCCATTTTAGACATGATGAGTATAAAGATGTTCATTAGACAGCCAAGTGGCTATGTCAAGTCGGCGATGGGGCATGTGGGACTGGGGTTTGGGAAAGAGGTCCGAGCTAGAGAAATAATGTTGGGTGGTCACAGCTTAGAGACAGGTATGAACTGGCAGGCACGCAAAGGGTGTTGGGGAGGAGGGAGCGAAACTGTGCAAAAGGTCAAGTATGATGAGCCCCGGGAAGGGGTGATTGTAATTGCCCAGTAGGCTCTGAAGTCAGCAGAGCAATAGAGAGTGGAAAAGCAGATAACGATGTGTGCACTTGGCAAAGCTCTCCATTCCCCCCACCTCGAAGTCCCTCCCTCCCTCCCCTGTGCTGAACAGGGCTGAGGGCTGCAGATTTCGGCTTCATGGTTTTCTTTCCTACTGACGGTACACCCATCACCAAACAGTTTCATGAAATATACACATGATCAGATATTTCCCCAGATGCCTCATACAAATATAAAGAATATGTAAGAGACGTGTGATTAAAATCAGAATTGTGCTTTTTCTCGCTCTCTTTCTCTGCAATTCTTTCTGAAGAAAGCAGCATCTGGGTATCGGCTGGTGAAAATGATGCCACTTTGTCAATGAAAATGTCCCCTGGTAGCCCTTTCTCTTCTGTGTTTTGTGCATAAGAAACGTTCTGGGAGATAATCCGGCCATCGTGCAAGCTCGGGTTTCGATCACCTTTACTTAGTTCGCATCAAGTTGGAAATGAAGGGTTTGTACAGAATTTCACTTCAAGCCCGTTTTGCTGCTGAGCTGGGAGAAAGGGGCAGTTCAATTTGAACATACACTTGCAAATTCAAAGGCAAAATCATACTTCTCTTTTTTTTCCTGTGAGCAGTGCCAATTTTTAATTAGGCATGATTTTAGTTCTAACCCATATTTCAGTCTTGCACCGATAATGAGCCAGCGGCATCACGTTGTCAGGCTGACGGTGCCGTGTGGTCGGAAGTTAGCGCCCCTCGGCCTGAATCGCTTGTGTTGACCACCGGTGTTGCTACAAGTCTGTAGGGCAAGTTTGCAACAAGGTGGTGGGCATTGTCTCCGCATTGTGAAATGACTCCAAAAAGTACGGGAACAGTCTTTTCCACACAGTTCTTTTCATTGGTGTGTTGGCCACAGTTTCCTGTTTTCCTTACGAAGCACGTGGCTCCTATATGAGCCTTCGACAACTCCAAGTGGTGGAAATCTTGATCCTGTTAGAATAGGTTGAATCTGGGGCGCCTGGGTGGCTTAGTCGGTTAAGCGTCCGACTTTCGCTTAGGTCATGATCTCGCGGTTCGTGGGTTCGAGCCCCGCGTCGGGCTCTGTGCTGACTGCCAGCTCAGAGCCTGGAGCCTGTTTCAGTCTGTGTCTCCCTCTCTCTCTGACCCTCCCCTGCTCATGCTGTCTCTCTCTCTCTCTCCTAGAAATAAATAAAACATAAAAAAAAAAAATTTAAAAAAGAATAGGTTGAATCTTTTTAGCAACTCAGGAAGAAACAAATGACTGTGCTAATGAAGGGGACTGCGCTAATTTACACGGTTTAAGAGAGCTACTTAAAAAGCCAGATAAACTTCATTTATGTGGGGAAAAAAGAAGAAATACATAATATGGAGCTGGATGTCAGAATCCTGCAGCAAGTTGAGAAAAGAGCTCTGGCAGAGGCATCCACAGCCTGGGGACCTGCGGTGAGACCCCTGATTCTAACCACCCGCTGCGGGCCTTTGGCACCCTCCAGTCTTTTGAGCCCTCAATTTACTTATCTTAAAAATGAAGGATTATAACTAAATGGCCCCTGGTTTCCTCTCTGGCTTTTGATTTCATCCCCTGTTGTATTCTTTTTTTAAAAATTTCTTTAATGTTTATTTTGGAGAGAGAGAGAGACAGAGACAGAGACAGAGCATACTTGGAGGAGGAGCAAAGAGAGAGGCAGACACAGAATCTGAAGCAGGCTCCGGCCTCTGAGCTGTCAGCACTGAGCCCAGCGCAGGACTCAAACCCATGAACTGTGAGACATGACCTGAGCGGAAGTCAGACGCTCCACTGACTGAGCCACCCAGACACCCCAGATGTTGTTTCTTATCCACTCTTTGATCCCAAGCACCTAGCACAGTGCCTGAAGGATAGAAATCTCTGAGGAAATATTTGCTTGGAGTCTATTTCACTGGCTCTGTCATGTATGTCTGTCAAAAAGAGCAGAACTTTCAAAACTTGAAATACCAGGTGGTACCTTTAGATCCAAATGCTATGTACGTAATCCTTGCACTTACTAAGATGACTAGATTCCTTGAACCATTGGTGTGGGACAGTGGGAATCTGGCTTTGTCTTCAGAGGCCAATAATCTGGATTTGCATCCTGGCTTCGACCATCAGTAGCTATGACCTTAAGTAAACAAATTCCATTCTCTAAGCCATAGTTTGTTTATTTGTGAATCAATGATCTTCCTGTCCTGCCTCGAAGGTCAAATGGTTTTTTTCTTTTTTTTTTTGGTCAACTGTAAGATGTATATAAATACGTGCATTGGTTTTCCACTGCTGTGTCACAGATCACCACACATTCATCAGCTTTAAACCACAGGACCATGGTCAGAATGCAAGTGGGCCCCAACTGGGTTCAAGACTCAGGGTTTCTCAGGGTAGAATCGAAGACAGCTGGGGCCGGATCCTTGTTTTCCAGGAGCATTGAGGTTGTTGGCAGAATTCAGTTCATTCAAGCTGCTGGGCTCACCAGATGTTTCTTTAAGGACAGCTGACCAGTGTCTGCTGTGTTCTTGTCTCTTTTGGGGGCTCACCTGTTTAGGTCGGACCTACTTTGGAACACCCACCTTTTGAATCACTCAAATTCACCCAGTTAGGGGCCTTGATCACATGGGCACAATCCCTTTGCCGTATAAAGTTGCCACACAAAGTATCGCAGGAATGACCCCTTGTCATACTCTCTTGATCTGCCCACACCAGACCGGACGCAGTTACCTATGACAGGTACTCCAGGGGGCAGGAATCTTGGGAACATGAGAATTACCTACCTGCCACAGCGTATGACAGCTCTGTGGCTCCTACCAACTGAATATGCGTTTTTCATAAAATATCAATATTTAATTTCATAGAGCTTACGAAGTTGTTCCTTGGGACAAGATGCTACCACCGAAACTCGATCCCGAAGAAACCACGGTAGAAAAAGCTGCTGACCCGATTTCACAGTGCTTTACCCTGAAAAGATATGAAGGGGCACCGGCAATAACCCAGGTCAGTGATCAGGGGCCTTAAGTGCACGTGTATCATTGCTTTTCCCCATATACAAGGTTTGCATTTTTGCAACCATGCATTTGTTTCTAAACTGAAGTCCAAAACTTTAATACTCATTTTATTCAAGAAATAATGCAACAAATGCATAAATATATACACTTATGGAACTGAGTTCTAGATTTTAATATTTTAATATTATCTATATTGGACTTTTCTTTTTTAAGTTTGTTTATTTTGAGAAAGAGAAAGAACGCATGTCTACAAGCAGGGGAGGGGCAGCGAGAGTGGGGGAGGGGGGAGAGAGAGAATCCCAGGAAGGCTCCTCGACAGTGCGGAGCCCAACACGGGGCTCGATCTCACAAACCGTGAGATCATGACCTAAGCCAATATCAAGGACTTGGATGCTCAACCAACTGAGCCAACCCACCACTTGTTATAAAGTGAAAGCCACGCTCCTTGACAGGCCATGTGTCCAGTTCTGTTATTTGCCCCCACTCAGCCTCACTCCCACCCCCACATGGTGTTCTTCTTGCTCCTTAAGCCTCACCTCCACACCAGGCTCTACAGTGTCACTTTCTACACTGAACCTCTGTGAAATCCCCAAGAGCCTTGCTATTCCTCAACACGCCATGTTTTTTGCAAATAAGGTTCCATTGCCTTCAGTATTCCATTTTTTCCAGGCTAAATCCCATGAATCTTTCAGGTCTTATCTTGGACCTCACTTTCACCCTCCCAACCCCGGACTAGATGTCCCTGTTCTGTACCCCGGATTAGAAGCACCTCCTCCTTCCGTTGATTTCTCCTCCTTTGCTTCTGTTCCTCGCCCCACAGAAGTCTGACAAGCACTGGGGTCCCCTCTCATAACAAAGCTCTTTACTGCATAAAATAAATAGCATGAAAGAGGAAAATAATTCTATTGAAATACTGTTCTAACCATGGGCTCCTAAGAGGTTCATGAACCCCAGGGTGGGAAACCCACATTATCTTGAAAAATTTTTTTGACTTTTATAGAGAAAAATGGCAGTGACAGAGGAAAAACATGGCTACAATAATGTAAAATCTCAGCATAGAATTCACACATCGAAATTAAACTCAGTCAAAGGACAAAAAATTGTGCCTGGATTCTTATAGCTGTTTTTTTTTTTCTTCAATTTTTTAAACATTTATTCATTTTAGAGGGGGAGAGCAGCGAGAGGCAGAGAAGGAGGGAGAGACAGAATGTGAGGCAGGCTCCAGGCCCTGAGCTGTCAACACAGAACCTGACGCGATGCTCGAACCTACGAGCGGTGAGATCATGACCTGAGCTGAAGTCAGACGTCAAACTGACAGAGCCACCCAGGCGCCCCTCTTATAGCTGTTTTTAAGGCTCTCTCAACTACTTTAAAATACTTTTACGTCTTTTGAAAACTGGTCACCATTTCCTTCCCAGCAAGGTGAGGTTCAAAGCTCAGGGTCTGGCAGGGTTGTAAAGCCTGAGGCTGCAGAGGGTGGACCGAGGTAGATCCAAGCAAAACATAATTTCTGGATGAAAATGAAAATGAGACCTTTCTGGGGTGCTGGGTGACTCTGTCGGTTTGACGCCTGACTTCAGCTCAGGTCATGATCTCACCACTCGTAGGTTTGAGCGCCGCATCAGGCTCTGTGCTGACAGCTTGGAGGCTGGAGCCTGCTTCAGATTCTGTCTCCCTCTTTCTCTCTCTCTTTCCTCCATTCATGCTCTCTCTCTTTCAAAATAAATAAAAATGTCAAAAAAAGAGACCTTTGTCAGGACTTCAGTCCAAAGGAGTTGGATGATGAGGCAGATTCCGGCTATGGGAAAACAAACCAGGAAACTGGGTCTGAGAACAAAGCAGAGACTAGGAGGGCCTGGGGGCGTCAAGCCCCCGACATGCTAAGGATGCTTGCAGAGTGCTTTCTGTTGGGAGCCTGGGGCTTACCATTGATGCGGTGAGGACAGTTATAAGCTGGAGCTTATATACGAGAAATTACAGTAACTTGTTCATTAAATACGTCATTCATTTTGATGCTGATTTTAGATGGTTGGTGGACTCTGGGACAGATTTCAAACAAGATCTTTCTTGGCACCCATCAAGCCAGTTACTTTGTAAGTTTTATCTCCTCATGTGCTCATCGCTCAATTTTTCACTTTGTCATTAATGTGTCTGGTGCTCCAGCCCATGGGTGAGAGAGGGGCTGAGGGGCGTATCCTCTGGAGAACATTCCAGAGACCTCAGACTTCCATCCCTGGGATGGGAAGGAGAACCCACATCTGCCTCAGTTACTCAGCGATGCCTGCCTTGTCTTAAACCTGTTTAACATTTAGACAATGAAATATACCACAACCGTTTAAAAAGAAATTGTCCTTTAAAAATGAATTTTTATATAAAGCAAAAAAAAAGATGAAATGAAAATGTGCCAAATTATAATCAAGTTGAACTGCTGCATCTAGTGTTACAAATAGTGACAATCTTGAAAAAACGTTGTCTTCTCAGCAAACTTAGATTTTACTGAGGCATATTCTAAAAATAACATGTACATTTTTTGATAAGGATTATTTAAAAGATGTTTTGCCAATGTGGAAAACATCCCAATATAAAAAAATAGATTCCAGTGTATAAATTGGACCGTAATCATTTTTTTTTCAAAAAGCTTTCAACACTCAAAAAATTTAAGACTCTCATAAACACAACAAGCTGATGTTGCTGGTGATTGCATCCAAATATCTTTTAAAGAATAAAGATGGAAGCCGTTGGTGCCAACCCTTACATTATGTGAGCACCAACGAAAACACCTTATTAGCATCTTATCTATACATCATGTGGTGAAATGGCAGATAACACACCCAGATGATACAATTTTCATTCCAGCTTATATGAATCACTGCATTTTTAAAATAAGAAATCAGCCAATGAATGAAAAGCTTTCTGTCTCAGTCAGTAGACTATAGCTCTGAACTTTTCAGAGTACCTCTCATCCTGCAACCTTCCTCTAATGCAAGGGCTGCCCCGAGATCCCGCCTGGATGGGAGTGTTTATGCTGCTGTACTCACAATGCCGAAACCTAGAAACAATGAAGGTATCTTTCAACAGGCCAGTGGAAAAGTATACGCTGGATAACCTACTGGAGAATACCCACGGGTAATGCACGGGAATACAACCAATGTTTTAGTGTTTATTTATTCTTGAGAGAGAGAAATTCATGAGCCAGAGTGTGAGCAGGGGAAGGGCAGAGAGAGAGGCAGACACAGAATCCGAAGCAGGCTCCAGGCTCTGAGCTGTAAGCACAGAGCCTGACGTGGGGCTCGAATTCACACCGTGTGATCATGACCTGAGCCGAAATCCAGAGTCAGATGCTTGACCGACTGAGCCACCCAGGGGCCCCTACATGACAAACTTTTAGAGGTTAATTCCCGTGAGGTATCTCCAAAGACTTTGTTATTCTTTTAATAGGAGAAATACTGTAATCATTGGGTGCTTATTAAGTTAACATCAATAAACTCCATTGTGTGCATTTTCTCTTTCTCTAAGTGTGAGTCCAAGTACCAGAAGCAAATACATCCCTCTTTATACGTAAGTAATAGTGTTTCATAATGTGTTAAAAATTACTAAATTTACATCTAAATTGTAATTGCCTTCAGCTCACTCATGTCTGTAATTCATTGTTTGAGACAACTTACACTTTCGAACCGAGTTCTAATGTTTTGCCAGCCCAGAGCCCACTTAATGTCAGGTCTTTCATCACAGGTTCGTTAAAGAAAGAAAGGGGGAGCGGTATTTTTTTCTGTTTCCCCAAATTGGCTATTTTATGAAGTAAAATGCCCTGGATGCTCCTAATATTGCATGTTGTCAACCGGAAAGACTTTTACACTCGATGAGGAAGATACGACGTGCTCACTAACACTAAAGTGAGGAAATAAAGTACAGGAACATGTATCCCCTTACTTTCCTGAGTTTGGAGCTGGCTCTCCATGGTCAGCAAAGATCTGCCAAAACGTGGGGTCTTCTCTCCTCTGTATCGAAGAGTCGCCTTGTGTTTTCATCTGTGCCAAACAAACAGCCATCTTTTTCTCACAGTTCTGGGGCCTGGAAGCCCGAGATCTGGGTGCCCGCGTAGTGGGCGAGGGCTCCCTTCTGAGTCACAAGACTTCCCACTCTGTCCTCATAGGGTGAAAGGACTGGATGGGCCCCCTAGTCCCTCTCCTGACAGCATCACCCCCATGACCTGAGCTCCTCACGTCTCCTGCTACCATCACCTTTGGGCATTAGGACTTCAACACAGGAATGCGGGAGGAGTGTAAACATTCAGGTCACGGACCTTGGAACGAAGCAGACCTAAGAAAATGGAGGCTTTGGCTGCCGCCATTAGTTACCTCTTCTGCCCTACGGTGGAGGTGACCGGGCTTTCTAAGCAGTGGCCCCAGAAATGCCTCAAGGACGCTCCGCTCTCTGGCTGACAGCACGTTAGCCTTGTCTCAGGGCCCTGAAGGCACACGGCTGGGCCCCCCAGATTCCCGGGCACCTGCCCAGATTCCCATCTCCAACAGGAGCCCGGTCGGCTCTGGCGATGCCAGCCCCTGCCTTGCGCCCCGGGCCAGCCTCGGGTGAACCAGCCTCCCTGGGCTGCACAAACAGCCCCTTTCTCTGCACAGAAACACAACCCACCTGTTTCTCTTCCCTGGCCCAAACTTCAGATCACGAGAGCCCGGCAGCTGTTGCTCTGTAAACGGGGAAATCTCTCGTCTTCGTGTTTTAAGGCAAACTGTTCCATCGTCATGGTTACTACTATTATTGTTGTTTCAATATTTTCATCGATTTCAGCAAATAAGATTGTCTTTGGATATTAGGACACTGTTTATCTCTTCTTCCATCTTTCTTATGTGGAAACACACGTTTTCTTTTCTTGTCACGCAAACAGGGGTTGTGTGCAGGCCACAAGCGCCGATGACGTTGACAACCCCTTTGCAGATGTCATGTCCCTCGCCAAGCCTCGGGCCTCCAGCATTCTTTCTACAAACACAAGTGGGTGAGTTCCACTCGTAATTACTCCCCTTCCAGCGCCGTTCAGGGTGAAACACAGTGATGGGCTTTATCATAAAGAGGGAATAAAAGGTGGCCCATCAGCGAATGGGCTTTAAGAAGAAAGACACCTGCTGCCCCAAAAGAAACGTAGCTCCCTACAAACAGATCATAATTCTCTGTGCTGACTGACCCGGGCGCCTTGATGCACAATAATGTGATGTATCTTATAGTCCATGTTTTACATGCATGTATGAAATACATTCACACAAACTGTAAAGACATTTTATTATATATTATAAAATACATAAGATTGTGTAATATATAAGATTATACAATATATAATATTGTACAATATTATATATTGTGTAAGTATGTTATATATCACATATATTTTATAATAAAGAAATAATAGATACAATAATATATTACATTTTTATATGATATATAATGTATGACGTATAATATATTGTATAGGAAAATATAATATGATATATAATTTTAAAGTGATAACATATAGGGGCATCTGGGTGGCTCAGTCATTAAGCATCTGTCTTGGTTCAGGTCACGATCTCACGGTTCGTGAGTTCGACCTCCACATCAGGCGGTGTGCTGACAGCTCAGAACTTGAAGCCTGCTTCAGATTCTGTGTCTCTTTCTCTCTCTGTTTCTCCCCTGCTCACGGTCTTTCTCTCTCAGGAATAAGTAAACATTAAAAAATTTTTAAAAAGTGATAATATGTAGCTTATAATTTATAATATATATAAGGATATAACATAAAGTTATAATATAAACTTATAATTTATAATATATCATATATAATATATGAAATATATAAGGTTACATATAATTTTATATATAAAATATATAACAAGGGTGCCTGGGTGGTTCAGCATTTAAGCATTTGACTTCGGCTCAGGTCATGATCTCATGGTTCGTGAGTTCAAGCTCCATACTGTGCTTTGTGCTGACGGCATAGAGCCTGGAGCCTGCTTCAGATTCTGTGTCTCCATCTCTCTTTGCCCCTCCTCTGCTCATACTCTGTCTCTCTCTCAAAAATAAATAAACATTAAAAAATTAAAAAATATATAACATATTACATAGTATATTATACATAATGTATCTCTTATATAAAATAAATACAAAATATATTTAATATATAATATGTAAGCTACATTTAACGTATAATATTTTAAGGTACATACATATATAAGTATGTTTATGTATAATATGTAGCTGTTTGCTCTCACCAATGGGAATACTAGGGCTCAGAGGTCGCTTCCCTGGGACTCCCCAACACAGTGGAAGTTGAAATCCTGTACTCTCTTCCTGATGCCCCTGAGTTGCTGAATGTCACGAGTATTATCCCAGCAGTTTCTGCAGGGCCTGACAAAGGCAAATTTCATGCAAAGCCCAAGTGTGAACTATGACAGTATTTTCAATGTTAATTGATTCCTTTTTTTTTTTTTTTTTTTTAACATCAGCTGTGCTCCAGAGCCGAACAAGCTGCATTTCTCATGGGCTATTCTTCGGGGCGTATTCTGTTGCAGGTTAAATTTAAGCAAATCCTGCATCCTGACAATGGTTGTAAATTTCCGTTACCTTTTCTGACTATGTAAATTTTTTGGCCACTTGGCCAAATTACAAAGTGTGCTGCGAATCTAACTTTGGGGTTAAAATATAGTTGTGTGACGTATCTCACTTAAATCTCGAGATAACGCACCCAAAGGAAATGACAAAAGAGCCTGTAAAATGCTAAGAAAGGCGGTAACAAAGATGAGACAGAGACTTGGCCCTCACGTAGCTTAAGAATCTGAAAGGCAGATAAACGCTAAACACAAATAATTACGGTACAAAGCAGTATAAAATAAGTCCCCCCAAAAGTTAGCTTGGTGTTTTCGAAGCTCAGTTGCACGGAGAGGTCGCTTTCTCTCATGAGACACTAAGGATGCTTGTGACATCTGAGCTGAGTCTTGGGAAAGGATCCGTTGGTGTGTTTCTTCCATAAAATCTGAGAGGGAAATACTGCTATTAAACACAGTAATTCTAAAGATATTAAAAGAAGGATATAAGGATGAAGCCAATTTAAAAATATCCTACAGGTCTAAAAATTTAATATGGTTTTTTTCTTTTGAAATATGCCTTTAAATTTTGAAGCATTTTATGAGACATTCTTGCCAAAGAATCCAAACACATTCTTTTGGGTCATTCCTCAAAGAGAATGAAGAGGGGTCTGGCCAGCATTTTAAGAATTTGATGTAAAACATCCCATTTAGCCTGAATAACTCCGGGAGCATACCGCCCTACCTCGGCTTGCTTTAGATTTCTGTTTCTAAGGAAGTGAAAATGTAGGAGTGGCTCCCGGAAAAGAAATTGAAGACGTTGGTTGCACTTGACCGATTTGGCCACTAGAGGGCTACCAAGCTCGCGAAGTTTCTTTTGAATCCGGTTTCCACGTTTAAGGTCCTCTTAACCTTTTAGCACAAAGAAATGTTTTTCGCTTTATTATGGAATATTAATAGATACATAAATATTTAGTGTCATATGTAACATATAAAATGAAATACCAAATAAAGGCCTGTGTGTTCCTGCCTTGCTAAAGAAATAGTATTTTACTAATAATATCTTCTAAGCCACTTGTGGGTGCCTCTCCACCTCATCACCTAGATCCCCTTTCCCAACCCGGAAGCCCTCAATCTTTGTGCTTTTCCTTCACTTACTTTGCTATGTACTTTTACTACATACATGTAGATGTCTAAACAAAATACATATTCTTAAGTTTTATCTATTTATTTTGAGATAGAGAGAAAGAGGGTGCAAGTGAGGGAGGGGCAGAAAGAGGGAGAGAGAGGGAACCCCAAGCAGGCTCTGCTGTGTCAGCACAGATCCCGACGCAGGGCTCAAACTCACGCGAACCCCGAGATCATGACCCGAGCTAAGACCAAGAGTCAGATGCTTAACTGACTGAGCCACCCAGGCGCCCCATAAAATATTTTGTTGTTTTTGCAATACTGCATTGGGCTGAAAGGCAATTCAACATGATGCCTTTTGCATACAATCCAAAACCCAGAAACACGTATACTTACTAACTTCGTGCTAAGCAGAGAATAGAGGAGCGTCGTCCTATTGAGAAGCAAGTATGACTCTTCCTTTGCTTTCTCATCGTAAACTTTCTTAAAGAAAAATGTCCTCCTGATATTATTTTTAAGATTCTCCTTATATCTCATGATACTTAATCATGGTGGAAATAGGAAGCCACACTTCAGACAGTCAAGGTCACTGACTCGTAGTTCAGGTGGCTCCATTGCTGGAATTTCTCTCACTAATTGATTTGGATTTCTGGTTGCCAAGCCATCTGACATCGTTTTAAAAAAAAAAAAAAAAGGCTTAAAATATTATTGTGGAATTGGATCTGATCATTGTAGGAAAAGAAATACAGAAAAGTTAGTAATGATAAAAGACTGGACCATGCAAAAACATAACCGAAGCACGTAGCTGTGGGGCTGATATGGAAAAGCCTGTCTGTACGATGTCAGGATCCAAAATCGTGAAATCCTGCCCTTTCCTGAGGAAATGGAGAGAGTGGCTGGCCCAGCTGTCGGAGCTACGCGGGGTGCTCACATCCCTGGTCTGGCTCCTGTCTTACCAACAAGGAAACTGAGGCACGCGCCCAGGCGGGAGAGCCCACTGAAGACCAGCTGGCCAGGAACCCGTGCCTCCCGTCCCCACACCTGGTGCTTTCTCAACACCCTGGCCTGTTTTCCCAAACCAGCCAGACACGCCCCCCCCCCCCCCCCCCCCCCCCCCCCCCCCCCCCCCCCCCCCCCCCCCAAGCCCGCACTGGGCTGCCCTCCAGCAGGCTGTGGTCCTTCATTTCAGAACTTTACACAGTTTCACATCTACTGTGCCTTCACCTCCGCCATCCCTGAGACGAAGCGTTTGCCAGTCATGAGCACCTGCCCAAAAGGGATCCTCAGGCAGGCGCCGGCCAAGGTCTGAGATGGAAGAGGGCGGGGGGGGGGGGGGGGGGGGGCACGGGGGGGGGGGGGGGGGGGCTTCCTGCCAGTCGCCATGGCGTGTCGCCCCTTTAACAAACAAAAAACCCCAAACAGCCTTACCACAATCCAGGTTAAAGAAGGGGGCTATGAATAGTAGTTCCTTACATTAGCCGACACTTCTGCCTTTTCAGAGAGCTTTCACATCTACTCTCTCATTTGCTTTTCAAACTAGTGTGAGGAGGCCAGAGGTGTGCCGACGGGTTCTCTCCCCATTTTGCAGATGAGGAGGCTGAGGCTGGAATGCATGATGTAAAGATCAGTCATCTGGGGGTGGCCCAGAGCAGCCTCCTCACCCCCAGGGCCAGCTCCAGGCACCTACCCACGTGGACATGCCCTTTGCCTCCGGCAAGGAAGTGGCTCCTGGGGCTCCAGCCCTCTGACAAACAGAGCCTTGGGGCCATTTCTGTGTCCACTTCCATTTGGAGAGATTCTAAGACCAGAGGAAGAACAAGTATAAACACTTGATGAGGATAATAATAAAACTGTAATTCCTGAGCAGATCTCAGGGCCTGAGAAACACGGCCCAATGATCATGATGCTTCTGGTCCCGCGGCCGCCTTCCCTCGGCCCTCCCTGAGCGCCCAGCCTTGTCCCTGCCCAGCCCCTCCTCCCCCTGCACGGTGCCCCGCCTTACAGGGGAGCTACAGGCCTCTGACCACAGCGCCGTGTGGCTCAGAGAGCTTCAGTTCAGTTGTCCAAGGTCACGTGGCTGGTAGGGGCGGCCCCGAGGTTCAGTGCCAGCCTCTCTGACCTCCGACCCCGTGCTTCCTTCTGTCTCCCTCTCACCCGCCCCCCCCCCCCCGCCCCCTTACTTTTCATCGGTGGCCTTTGCCCCAATTCTTCAAACCTTGTTGATGCAAAAGCTGTCAGGAATGGGCCTGGATGAGTTTTCTGCCTGATGCACAATGGCTCTCAACTCAAGATCGTCGGACCGACTTGAACTTGAACCTGCACCCACACCCTGGATAAATGCCGAGGCTCGGAGGTAGCGGAGCTCTCCTGCCTGGGCTGGGGCCTGGGGTGTGAGGGCACAGGGACATCTTCTGCAAATCCGTCTGGGGCTCCTGGGTCCAGCTTGTTCTGCTACCTGCTAAAACACATGACTTTGACTTTCTCTAAAACTTCACTTTCTGCATCCGTACGACAGGCGTGATCTTAGGATTTACAACACAGGGTTCTGCGAGAATTAAGTCTATTCGTCCAAGCGTTTAAAACAGTGGCTGCGACACCATGCACGCTCAGGGGACATTAGTCCTGTCCAGGGAACGGCGCAGAAGCTGTCTGTACACCGAAATCCTGACCCACGTACACGCTACCAGTATTCCACATACAGCATGCTTTCCCCGCATTTTCTTTATTTCCTATTTAGCTTTTAATTACACACCATCTGTGCTTCCTTTTCCAAGAGGCTCACTAAATCCTTTATGTTCTAAAATTATTTAGTTTCTATTTTATTATGCTAGGTTGAGCAAACCAGTTAGTTGCAGACTTAGGCAATAATGTCTTCACGTGTGCCTGCTAATGGACAAAATCCAGGCTTATTCCGGGAATCAGGACACAGAAGAAGGTGTTCACAGGACCAGAAGCTATGGAGAAAGACAAAAAAATGAAGACTTCTCTTATTTTTCTTCTTTTTAAGTTTTTTAATGTTTATTTTTGAGAGACAGAGGGAGACAGAGCACGAGTGGGGGAGGGGAAGAGAGAGAGGGAGACACAGAATCCGAAACAGGCTCCAGGCTCCAAGCTGTCAGCACAGAGCCCGACACGGGGCTCGAACTCATGAACCACGAGATGATGACCTGAGCCGAAGTCAGATGCTTAACGACCTAGCCCCCCGGGGCACCCCTCTACTTCTCTTATTTTTAAATGGGTTCCTGCTTTTCTCTGCTTTCCCTAAGTGGCCGAAGGGGGTCTTTGAACGTGGAACCAATCTGGAAGCCCATTTCAAAGCCTGTTCATGGTAGCACCTTGAATAGATGTCTCCTTCCTCTAGAAATCGTGTCACCTCTCAGCAGCAGGGCTGTGTCCCCCAGAGACTACTCTCTTCTTGACAGAAGGTCAATATGCAACATGCACTTAAGGTGAAAAAAAAGTCCCCTTGTGATGTCCCTGCAAAGAGGTCAGTGGAACAGATTTAGAAGCCGTGTGGGTGAGGGCTTTCATTTTCAAATATTTGCCAGTGTATTACGCAACCGAATTCATTTCTTAAGCCTAAGCAGCTTTAATTTAGCTTACTGGTTCATGGTTTGTTATTATTGGATGTGATGTAATGTAACATAATGTCGTTATTATAATGCAATGTATAACACCACTTAGCATCAATAACCTGTGCGCCGCAAGGCACGTATGGCCCGATGTTTTCTATCAAGCTCTTCTCCCGATCAACAAATCGTTCGCTTCCACCTTTGACTTCTTAACTGCTCTAATGGAAGGCTATGGCTTGAGAGCCATTTTAATTCTGCAGGTGTTTTTAGGGGCAGTGGAAAAAAACATCTCACACAGAGGAAGGGGATTTCCTCTGCAACATGAATGGAAGCTTTAAAGAATGTTTGGGGGAAAGATGTACCCATGAATAATTCTGCCTCGCTTTTTGTTACCTCTCTCTGACATACGGCAACGCTTGAAGAAAATTCCAGGAAATCCTAATGGGCGCCTCCTAGAATTTGGCAACACTGGTGTGATCACCCAGGTCCCCCAACAAGCCTGAAAACGTAGCTCTCAAATAGGGATTTCCAAACCCCCGTGCACAGCTTCTCTAGAATTATCTAGGCAGAGTTCGAAGACCCTGATTCCCAAGTCACCCCCCTCACTCAGAGCGTCTGGGGGCTGGCAGTCAGGCATGGGTACCTTTGAAAAATCCCCTTGAGTTTCCAGCATGTGGGGATGTTCAGAAACCACTGTCTGAACATCAACACACGTGCGTCTGCTAGATAAACTTCACAGTCTCCACTTCCCTGGCTCCTGTTTTACACATTTCTCATTACTTTAAAATCTTGTATGTCAGCTGAAACAACTTGAGCCCCACTATGTGCTGAAGGTTCTCTGGTTGCTTTCAGATCCATGGAATCCCTTGAATCCTGGAGGAGGAGCCTTAAAGAGGTGAATGGTGTCACCTCCCTGCTGCAGGTGGCTGGGCTGAGGCCCAGAGGGCTTCCTCTCACTGGAGGAGACACAGCTGGTTAAGGGGCACGTCAGCCTTGGAAGGGAGCCCTGGGTCCCCATGCCGTGGGCTCCCCTGCTCTTCCATCGTCGCATTTCCCTAGTTTCCTAAGATCCAGCAACATGTGCGATCTCTTCTGCTATTGCCACTAATGCAATACCATCTGCTATTGCCACTAATGCCCCTTCTTCACTCAGTTAGTGTCAGGTGTCCCTACTGTGTAAGCCAGCACATCGTCACCTCTGGTCATAGCTCCATAGACTTGCAGGACACAGATGAGGTTAATAAGTGCAACTCTTGCTTGACACTTCTTTCTCTGCCATTCTAATACCAACACATAGCCATGTGTGGAGGGACACTGAGGGGCTGCGCCACGGGCCATGGGCCACGCACAGGGAGCGAGAGATACCAAGGGGCCACACCATGCCCCACAGCCGGGGGTGTGGGGGACACCGAGGGGCTGCACTGGGATCCACCACCTTCTCCCCACCAAACACGTCCACAGCTGGAGTCATCAACCCCTTTCGTGGCTGAGGCAGTAAGGCTCCCAGAGATCACGTCTGCCATCCAGACCTGCGAGCTGATGAGCCGAGTCCTAGGATTAGAGTCTGAGCCCTGACCCTTGGGCACCACCCGCATCACCGACCCCCTCTCTGCCGTCTGCCCTCTCCCCTGCCAGAATAAGAAACGACATCCCTGAAGCCCCATGTCTTGAAAATTTCTCCCTAGGCAAATGGTTCCTGGACATTTTCTTTGGCTTATTGGGTGTGTGGGAAGGTCCCAGCTGTAAGCAATATGCACAGAGGGACTGTTCCTTTGCCCTGGACAGAGGCTTGGCTACTTCTGCTGCTGCTACATTGCAGTTGATGTGTCCATCCATCCAGAATGAGGGGCCGCGCTGAAGAAATGTCACACTCTCAAAGGAAAGGCCTGGGGATGGGAAAGGTCAGGCGCTGGGGGAGCAGAGTGGGCAGCCTATCGTCTGGCCCTTTCGTGGCTCCCAGCACATCTGCAGTGATGATCTTCCTCCCTCCCTTTCAGCCCTGAAAGGATGCTTGGAGCTCGAGTCCACAAAGATCATGTCCTGTTTGAGGGAGCCCTGCGATTTGCACGCAGTGCGGTCTTGCTCCTTGAAATACAGTTTATGCATTTATTTTTCAAGTTGTTTTATTTATTTTTGAGAGAGAGAATGCAAGTGAAGGAGGGGCAGAGAGAGGAACAGAGGACCTACATAGGCTCTGTGCTGACAGCAGAGAGCCTGACTCTGGGCTCAAACTCATGAACCATGAGACCATGACCTGAGCTGAAGTTGGATGTTTAACCCACTGAGCCACGCAGGTGCCCCCCCTGAAACACAGTTTAAATTCCCTCTTGTCCCTGGATCCTGAGGCCAAGGCCACAGGTCTGAAGCAGCACTGGGTACTAAACCCACGTAGCCCCGGCCTGGCCTCACCTCTCCACCAGCACATAATTTATTTAAAAACACCTGTGTGCTAGGGGCACCTGGGTGGCTCAGCTGGTTAAGCGTCAGACTTCGGCTCAGGTCATGAAGTCAGGATTCATGATTTTAAGCCCCACATCAGGCTCTGTGCTGACAGTGTGGAGCCCACTTGGGATTCTCTCTCTCCCTCTCTCTGCCCCTCCCCTGCTCATTCTCTCTCTCTCTCAAAATAAATAAGTTAATTAATTAAAAAAAAGAAACGACATGAAATTAGGAATGCAGTACAATAATAGTGACAAGAAAATGTTATTTTAAAATCACGATCAGGGGCGCCTGGGTGGCTCAGTCCATTAAGCATCGACTTTGGCTCAGGTCATGATCTCATGGTTCATGAGTTTGAGCTCCACATTGGGCTCTGTGCTGACAGCTCAGAGCCCGGAGCCTGCTTCAAATTCTGTGTCTCCCTCTCTCTCTCTGCCCCTCCCCTGCTCATGCTCTCTCTCTCTCAAAAATAAATAAACACTAAAAAATTTAAAAAATAAATAAAAATGGCCATGTGTCCACTAGTGCTGAGTCAGCATGACAGAGTCACGTGCGGAACACAGGTCTGCTGTCCTGTAAAAAACCCGCCTCTGCCTTCATCAGGAAACAGCTTGGCAGCGAATCACGTATGTAAAACACATGCAAATTCAAAGACTAGGAAAACTCGGGCTGGAAAGAAGTCTCTTCAATCCTAGCGTCGGGCTGCTATCTGTGCATCTCTGAGTCAGCATTTCCTGTTTGCCGGCCTGATTTCCAGCACCTTCCTTTGCATCTTCATACGTGGGCGCTGGTGACCAGGGCTAGTTCACAAGTGCCTATTTTCATGTCCTCTCTCCCCTCTCTCTTCACTCTTTCCTCCAGCTCCGCCAATATCCCGGGATACACCGGTAAGGTTCATTTCACTGCCAGACACCCAGCAAATTCTGATATTCCATCAACGGTCCCATCGCCAGACTCAGGAGTACACTGGTGAGCATGAGTGCCTATTACTAAGAGTGTTCAGATACCTGGGGGCGGGCGGTGGGTGGGGGTGGAGGGGATCCTCATTATGGTTATTCCATTAAAGAACGATTAACTTCAAAGAGTATATTTACATCACTTAAAAAATGGGGTGTTGAGTCCAGAAGAGCTCATTTTCCCACTGTGGTTGCGAGAAGGAGCCTTGTGTGAAGACACAGAAGCCGCTTTTGGTAAACAGCTTGTCCGCCTCTTGCACCCACAGCTTTGCACACACACGTCCCCACTGCATCAGCACCAGAACACACCTGGATGCCTGAAACACACTCCGTGAGACACATATTCACTTCCTGCGAATCGCCGCCTCCTTTTTTCAGAAGAGACAACATTCTGTTGAAAGTCGATATGGAGTTTTAAACACCATTTCACAAATTGAAAGCAGGAGACGTTAGATGGAAGGTTACCGCAGACTCCGTTATTTGGAGCTGCAGGAGAGGAGCCGCGCGCTATTGCTCATTACAGCTCAAATTTGCAAACATTTGATGGAAGATCCTGGCCTTGCAAATAAGAGGACAGAGTCTTGAAAAATGCGAATTCAGAGGTCTTAACCAGGTGCAGTCGCTGGCTCCTGCAAAGAACTGAACTATCCCAGGGGGTCGCTGTGCGTCTTGGAGGGGGAGGGAGGCGACTCCCTCTCCCCCCCTCCCCCAGAGGGTGCTTTTTCTCCTTTTAGGAGAGAATCTGTTCATTTAGCTAACATTTATTGGGCATCCACTCTGGGCCAGGCACTGTTCAAGGCACTGAGCGCACGGGCTGAACAGACACGAGGCGGGCTCTCGGGACCTTACATTCTGGTGTGACCGGCGGAGAGCATGGATGCACACAAGTAATGGAGGAAATAAGAGGGTTTCAGAGGGGGGCATGAAGAAGAAAAGGCAGGGAGATGTGGTAGCCAGTGCCTGGACGGGGTGCTGATTTAGCTCGGCAGTCAGAGAGGGCTTTCTGAGGAGGTGACCTTCAGGTGGGACTCAGAGTGCCCTATCGGATTTCTTTCTTGTTCTGAAAGGCAGCAAGAGTAGAGGGAACTCTCAGGCCATGGTGGGCAATTGGGATGGCTATATGTCAGTGGGACCCTAGGAATTCACAAGAATTAGACCCACTCTGCACGGAGCACACGGTCTAGCAGTGAGCGAGAAACACACCGCTAGAGCAGAGGATGACACACCACAATCACGTCACTGACGTAGGTGAGTGCTTCCTCTGCACCGGGCTACCCAAGGGCTTTGTGCTTACCAACCCATCTCCCCAACCCAGAAAGCCTGTGAGGAAGACGCTCTTGTTTTCCCATTTTACAGATGAGGAAAGGGAGGCAGATGCAAGATTCTAGGGGATGCTCCAAGGGCCACTTCATGGAGGAAGGGGTTCCCTTGGACGAGGGCTCTTGGTCTCATAGATATTTGGGGGCCACACTGAGAGTGGCACCGTTGGGCTGTTCCCAGGATCCCACACACGAAGCCCCCCGCCACATAACGGTGAAACCACAGGAAGGCCTTGTGTGGCCCTGTGTCCGAGGCACCCAGATCACTCCACACCCTGTGAGCATGACCTGGTTCTTTAGGCTGTCACCAAGGGGGCCGGGGACGTGCCTGCTGCCAGAGGGCTTCCTCACCGATCTAAACTCTGAGTGTGCGGATTGCTTAGGCTCATCGGATGAGACACATTTTAAAGGAGGACATCGGCTTTCTAGGCCAGCGTTTGGCATTCAGTCAGTTGTCTCTGGAGACGCGTTTTCAAATGTCACAGGTCCATCCCATTTGCAAAGGCGACGCTGACAGAAATGGAGACAATTAATGTAATTTGGGTTCATTGAAGGACCTAAAGAAGCAATGGCAGAATTAAATGCATCCTGAGGTCTGTCATAAAGACGTAGCATCCAGAAAGCTGGGCCACCACAGGGTGTCTGCGCGGTTACTGACGGAGGACAGACCCGTGACGCCTCCCCGGGCGAACGTCAACATTCCCGATCTCTTGGCTTTTCCCTTCGGGAACCATCTTCTCTCCCCACGTGTCTCCGACCTCATCCCTGACAGCTGCTGACAGCGTGTTCCCGCAGCCACGTGACCTAGCTGCCCAGTGTTCCACTGTATTCCAAAGTAGCCTGTATTTCTGAGTGGAGAACGATCCTCCACTGTTAAGCACGTTACCAGTGCTGCTCTCACTGTTACTAGTGTTACTGCTGCCTCTCCTGGTGTTAGTAGTGTTACCTCGGCTGTTACTCCTGTTACTACTGCTGTTACTCATATTGCTACTGCTGTTGCTACTTAAGAAAAGAACTCGAGCCTTTTGGCCACACCCTCAGGCCCAGATTTAGGCCCCTCGCTGACCCCTGGGGAGCCCCCACACTCACCCCCCCATATACGGCACACACCTCTGACTTCCTGGTGTCTCAGAGTAGGGACTGAGAGCCCTCCGACGCAGCTTCTCTGAGGTTCTTATTCTCGGGGTGCACAGAGGCTCTAGAAAACACTGGCAGCCCCCAAGGGTCCCCCACGAGGAAGTGACCAGCCCCTGTTGGGCCAGGTGCCCAGATCCTGCGCCCAACCCTAACGGCCGCACCTGACAGGCCCTGGGGCTTGGCAGCGAGAAAACACGGTCGGGCATCCCGCTTTTAAAAAGCACTCTCTGGGGTCGCCTGGGTGGCTTAGTCGGTTAAGCGTCCGACTTTCGCTTAGGTCATGATCTCGCGGTTCGTGGGTTCGAGCCCCGCGTCGGGCTCTGTGCTGACTGCCGGCTCAGAGCCTGGAGCCTGTTTCAGTCTGTGACTCCCTCTCTCTCTCTGACCCTCCCCTGCTCACGCTGTCTCTCTCTCTCTCCTAGAAATAAATAAAAAATAAAAAAAATAAAAAAAAAAGCACTCTCTGGGGTTCCTGGGCGGCTCAGTGGGTTAAGCGTCCGACTCTTGATCTCTGCTCAGGTCATGATCTCAGGGTTCATGAGATCGATCCCCGTGTCAGGCTCTCTGCTGACAGTGTGGAGCCGGCTTGCGATTCTCTCTCTCTCTCTCTCTCTCTTACCCCCCCTCAAAATAAATAAGCATTTAAAAAATATAAATAAATAAATCAAAATAAAAAGTATTCTCTAACATGAGGAGGCACTGTGATCAGAGAAAATTGGGCCTTAGACGTTCTCTGTCGTGAAATGCCGCCTCGCAGCTTCTGTGACGCTCTATGTCATGTAACTTTGCTAAAACTTTCTTGTGGAAGTGCGAGTCCAGGTCTCTGATGAGTATCTTGAGAACTGAGTGAGCTAACTTCCTCCTGATGGTGTCTGCCTGATCTGCTGTGTTTTTCCTGTTGCTTCTGAGAGGCTGTGTGCGCACGGGCATGCCCTGGGCACTCCTGACCCCGGGCTCTGGCGTGCACCCTCACGGCTGGTCCAGAACCCACTCTGCTTCTGCCCCGAGGGGAGCATGCACGCAGGCGCCTGCAGCCCATCCCCAGGCGGCCGGTGCCCTGTCCTCTCCCCTGCCCCCACACCGGAATCTTCTCTCCCACCGGGGCCTCTGTTTCCTCCCCACCAAGACAAGTTCTTTCTTCTAAAAGCTCCGTCCTTCCCTCTGAGCACTGGGTCCTCTCTGACCCTGCTCCCCGACTCCTGCTTAGGAAGAAACCCAGACACCCCCCAATCTTATCCCCTCCCCCACCCCAACTACCTCCCCTCCCCCGCATTCCCTCCCCCCACCCCACCCTAGCCACCTCCTTGCTGTAGAAATCAAAAATGTCCCCTCTGAGCAGCCATCCCTTTCTCTGCCCTCCTACCTCTCACTTCTAACCTTCTTTCAGAGGGAAACACCCAGCCTCCCTTTCCTGTCTGCCTCCCCCGCCCTCCCCCGCCCTCTCTGTCAGCCTCCCACAGATATCACCAGTTGAGGGACTGTAGGCTGGTAAGGCCACGGCAGAGGAGGGGCCATGGAGCCCTCGTGGTGCAGCGTTTGCCGTGGATCTCTGTGCCTGGGAGGCTGCAGTGCTGGTTTGGGATTCAGCAAGCTAGGCCTTGAATGTCAATGCCAAGGGGCCGAGGTCCATGTGGTGGGGACTGAAGTGAGGGCAAGGGTGCAGGGGTAGGTGACACGGATGCTGCGACTCCCATTTCAAGAGCAAGGAACGCATGCAGGCCCTCCCCACCTCCGACTGCTTCTTCCATGATGGCCTGCCGTCCCCTGTGGGTTCCCTCTGCCGCAATGCCACCTTCACAGAAGCTGGAGTTTGCACGCCAACAGCCGTTTGCCACGACACAGGAAAACATAACCACGATAATCACAGCGTGTTTAAAAAAGTCACTTTAGGTTGAGTTGCTGTGCGCTCCGTGACTTCTGCCACATAGGAACACCACACTGTGTGTGTGTGTGTGTGTGTGTGTGTGTGTGTGTGTGATTCAAATAGCAGCAAACTCACAGCAAAAGTGCCACCTGACGTAAGCAGTCATTCGAGAGAGTTGCTGCAGCCTGTGCCTACTCTGAGAAGACCACCTCTGGCCATGAACAGGGGTTGGGAAAGCATTATTTGCACAGCGTTCTACATATTTAGTTATTTTCTTTTAATTCTTACAACATAGAGAGTGTTACTCCTGCTGGATAATGAGCCAAAAAAGACCCATGTGAGGTTAATGTCCTGTGAGAGCAGTCAGCCTAACCCTGCTGCCGGGGGAAATTCAGTCTCAGCCCTGCGTGTGGCCTGTCCCACCCCTGCCCTGAGTCTCTCCCCACATCCCCTGTGCCCTCCCACCTGGCTCTCCCTGCACCCCTCCTTCGTCAACCAGCCTGCTTTCATCACGACCCACTTAACTCCTCCCTGACATAGACTCTGGGGGAGGAGGACTTCCTTCCCCAGCCCAGGGAGGTGACTCTACCTCTCTGCTCCGTTGTCCTGGGCTCACCTGCACAGAAGCTTCATGTTGTAACCTTTGAGTACTTCCTTTTGACCACATTTTCTATATTCTTAGCACCTACTGCAATTCTAGGCACAGAGTAGATTTTCAGCCGGTGAAACCGATTGCAATATTACACATGTAATGCAATAAGTGAAACTGAATGCAAATAAAGGAAATAAGTAAAACGATGCACACAGGATTAATCATTCCCAGTTTCCCCTTATGTGCTCTCCCGATCATTCTCCATCCTGAACATGTGTCCCATTAATTGGAAAATAAATGAGGTTATATGGTTTTATGTTTATTGCATGGGTCATTTTTCTTTCTTTTTTTTCCTCTCCGCCTCTCATAGCATCTTACGGAAAGAAATGGCAGTTGACCTCTTCCGTCACCAGGCACCGCTGTCTCGAATGGTCACGACCGTAAAACCCTGCAATCCCTTCAATAAGAAGGAAATGGAAAGTGTAGGCTACTGACAAAGGCCTGCCTTCTGAGCAAGACTTATAATGTTCAGCCTTGGGGAGGAACCATGCACGGTGCGATGGGGAAATAAAAGACCCAGGCGTGTTCCGGGTGTGTCCACAGAGGTCCAGCAAAGTCTGGTGTTCTTGTCTACCTGAGGAGTGTCCTGGACCCCTGTCTCTGTCACTCACCTGACCGGGCCTTTGAAAGCCCACCAATCCATGATAGTAGCCAAGATTTTCTGGAAGCCATCAGAAGCAATGATTCTATTTCTAGAAGATTCCTCTTTAGAGTTGGAATGCCCGGCCTACCTAGAGGCTTCATGTCTTGACCAAGATAATGCAGTGATGGTAACTGTAGAGCATAGATGGTAAATTTTGTGCCCACAGACTACCCAATCAAACTCCCGTATGTTCTGAATGGGAAAACTGAGTGGCTGAGAGAGAACATGGGGATGTTCATTCCACACATGGCTTCACACAGGGCAACATCTATGATAAAGGACAAAGTCATCCCTTGCCTGGCTGTAGTATTTCTCTTTCAGAAAACAAAGCATCCCCTCCCCCCACCCCTCAGGCTCCCTCCATGAGGCCCAGTGACCAGTCACATCCGCTTTAGGGTCAGTGTGCGGACCTTGGCCAGAGAGAGCTCCAGCTTCAGAATCACTCAAGAGTGAATGTGGGCTGTGTGGGATGCCTCTCGCCTCCCAAATGTAGTTTTACTTGTAAACATGTGAAGTTTATTTACACCTGCCTTCGCATGTCCAGATTCTGTCAAGAGTTTGTAAAGTGTTTTCACAAATCTCAGCTCATTTGATCGTCATTTTACAAAGAAGGGAAGTCTTTCTCTCAGGCCACACAATTAATAACGAGGAGGGTTAGAACTAGAACCCGGCTTTTCGAAATCAGAGACTGTGCATCCATTTCTTGGCAGATTGGATAATCCTCATTGAGCTGTTCAGGAACAAAACAAACCAAAACAGAAATAAAAAAGGGGGTATTCTCCCTACGTTCCTAGGCTTTTCAGGGTTTCTTCCTGCTTTCTTCTTCCAAGAGGTTCCAAGAGACAAGGATCCCACCGAACTTCAAGCAAACGTGTGTAAGCTCTGCTTATCCCTTTGAAAAAGGGCAAAATTGGCTGTTTTGGTTTGGGGGCGGGGTGTTGCCTCAGTCGACCTCAGTCGTCCAGAAGATCTGGACATCGGCTCGCCGGACCCTCTGTGTGAGCTGCCTTTCTTCCAGGACAAGAGGAAGGCACGTGTCCATTCCTCCCAGGATGCTGACTTGCCTTCATGGAAAAGGAATGACTTCAACTGAACCCAATCTTGTGGCCTAATTATTCTCCGAACAAGCAATTCTGTTTAAAAAAAATCAGACCAAAACAGAAATCTTCATCTCTGGGAGATTCTCACCCAAACACAAATGGGAAGGATTAGCCCTGTCCAGGAAGTAGATTGATGCAGGTACCAGAGATTACATTTTGTGGTAAACAGCCCTGGAAGGCCACTTTGTCAGGAGGCGTTATCACTCAAAATCTGAGGCACCTGTTGGTTCTTCTGGGCCTTTCTGTGACATTGCAGCAGTGGGACAGATCATGGCATTCTTCGGGCTAAGATACTCATTTCCATCCTCATTTCCATTTTTCCTATCAGAGCACCTTCCAAGCTGCTTCTAGAATGATGTTGGCTTTGTCTACAGCATCCTCAGGCTGCATCCAGCAGATGACACGTGGGAGCTCTTCTGTTTGCATAGACATGAGCTCAGACTGCTTACCATGAAGAGGATTAAAATCCTGTTCACCACAGGTCTAGAACTTCAGGCCAACAGAGAAATACCAGCCCCTACAAACTCCTGGCCTTTGCTTGTGAGGGTAAGTTGTATTATTTGGGTTTCCCTGGTCAGAGTTCAATGGAAACTCATAAAAATCAAGGGAGATAGACTCAGGGTATGCATCTGCTCTTCAAGATCAGAACTCTGGTCTTGGATTATTCTGATGCACTTGGAGCCAACACATCTACACCTCCTGAGATGAGCCACTTGCCTTTGGCTTCTCTGCCCACAGCATAGGATGCCTTACGTTACTCTCTCGGCTTTTCTTTATCCCCAGGGATGGACCCAACACAGGGAACCTTGAAGTTTCCATAAAGCTTAGGTGGAAGATAGTGTTCAAAAATTTTAAAGAGTTCACCCATAACAGAAAATGCATACTAATAAGCTTATTCCAGAAGAAAAGTATATGACAATATAATATTATAAATACATTACTCAAGCTCAATAATATGAAAAGTATGATACTCATGACAGAGAAGAGGAAATCTACAAGCAAATGGATAAAGAAATTACATTAAGCCCTTGAGTACAGGATAGATTTGTTTCAATAGATGATATTGAGACAACTATGTGGAAACAAAACAGAAAAATAGATCAATCCAGGTCTCACCCATAAATCAAAAGTAAGTTGTTCCCAGAATAGAGCTTTAAATGGGAAATTTATAGCCTTCGATTACCTGGAATTTCAGGAGAATTGGTTTATTAGGTGGAGGAAAACTTCTCCAGAGGTCACTGATGCCAGAAATTATGAAGATAAAGAATAACTTAAAAAACAGATCACTAAAATCTTTTTAAGACAAATTTGTTGGCAAAATATGTCAGACAAAAAGTCATATCCTCACTATAAAAACAGTCCATGTTGGGGAAAAAAAAAGAAAAGACGATACCAATAGAAATAAGGCAAAGGATATTAACAAATACATTAAAAACATAAGAACTATAAACGGCAGGGTGCCTGGGACGGGTGGTCAGTCAGTTAAGCATCAGACTCTCAATTTCACCTCAGGTCATGATCTTGTGGTCGACGTCAGGCTCTGTGCTGATAGCTCAGAGCCTGGCACCTGCTTTAGAGTCTGTCTGTCTGTCTGTCTGTCTCTCTCTGCCCCTCCCCCACTCAGGCACTTTCTCTCTCTCAAAAATAAGTAAACATTAGAAAATCATTTTAAAAACAGATTTACAACAATATATAATTATCTCATTTTCATTTTAAATGGCTATACAGAATAATGTGGAGAGATGTAAAACACGTTAGTGGTAATTCTGTATTTTTATACTGTTATAATGACATGTTTTTTTAAAACTGGAAAATTTGAAAAGTTATAAGACTCTATCCCTAAAACTCTTCAAAACTCCTTATAACAGAAACTATCAGAATTTTTCTTTTATGAATTCACCACCAGGAACATATTTGTCCCTCCTAAAGAGCTGGTGTCCGAGTAGGAGAATTATGTAAGCCACCGACCTCAACCTTTTCTACAGTTTGGTGGTTTGTCATCTAGGTAGGTGTGAAATTACATAGTTGCCCTAAATGGAAAATGCTAAAATGGAAAGTGCTTCCATTTTCCCATGTCTGCCAGGAAGCTCAAGGCTGAATTCAATCAGTAGATTAACTCAGAGCTGCTGACAAACTTGAGTCAGGGCTCCACCTTCAAAACTGAGAGCCGAAGGAGCCCCTTGAGTCATTTTGGAACACGCTGTAGCCTGAGAACCATTGACTCTGTACCTGCTTTTTCCCCTTTCCTCAGAGTTTCAGATTTTTCTGTTCCGATTGTAAGATCCTCTTGGTATTAGGAGATGCCTGCCTCTTGAGAGAGATCAATAGGTCACAAATCACATTAGGCATGGTTAATGTGTTTCTCGTTAGTGTTTCCTGCACCAGGTGGAGCGCTGACCCATGGAAGGAAAACCCAAACCTGGGCAGCGTGGTGAAAACTACCCCACTGCCTTCGTGGTCTGTCACCCTTCTGCCCTGATACTGCCAGGAAGAGGTGGTCACCAGGACAGACGCCAGTGACCTGGTCGAGGCATAACCTGACCACCCAGGATTCTGTCCTCATAAATGAAAATTTTCTTTTTAAAAAATTTTTTTAAGTTTATTTATTTATTTTGAGCGAGACAGAGACAGTGCAAGTGGGGAGGGGCAGAGAGAGAGGGAGAGAGAATCCCAAGCAGGCTCCAGGCTGTCAGCACAGAGGAGCCCGATGTGGGGCTCAAACCCACAAAACCAGGAGATCATGACCGGAGCCGAAACCAAGAGTCGGACATGTAACCGACTGAGCCACCCAGGTGACCCTATACAAACATTTTCTAAATGAGATCTACTTGTTCCATTTAGCCTAGGGCAGACTGAATTATTCTCATCTCTGGAAATCACAGAATTCTGCATTATAATCTATACACCGTTAAAGAAGAAAAATGCTAAATAGTTACAATTAACTGGAGCTCCTCGGTGGTGTAGTCGGTTTTAAGCATCAGACTTCAGCTCAGGTCATGATCTCGCAGTTCATGAGGTCTAGCCCCACATCGGGCTCGGAGATGGGAGCCTGGAACCTGCTTTGGATTCTATGTCTCTCTCTCTCCCTCTGCCCCTCTGCCACTCACACTCTTTCTCTCTCTCAATATAAATAGTAAAAAAAAAATTTTTTTTTAAATAGTTACAGTTAACTAAGGGACCAGTATGTTTCTCTGCAAAACATATTTTCAATTTTAATTTTAATTCATTTGTGTTTTAAAGTTTATTTATTTTGAGACAGTGTGTGCGGAAAGGGCAGAGGGGGTGGGGGAAGAAATAGAGGATCCCAAGCAGGCTCTGAGCTGTCAGCACAGAGTCCGAATTGAGACTGGAACTCACGAACCGTGAGATCATGACCTGAGCTGAAATCAAGAGTTGGAAGCTTAATCGACTGAGCCACCCAGGCTCCCCGGGATCAATTTTTTTAATATCTGCTTCGAAGGTGGTGGTTTCTCATTTCCAGTCTCAACAAAAAAGGGTTTCAGAATCAGCCTGACTGAGCTCCAAGTCTTGGCTCCCGTGCTCTCCAGGTGAACTCCTTCCCTGCTCTGAGACACAGCTTCTGAGAAGAAGAGACCAGCGGCCCGGAGGAACTATGGAAATAATGCTGTGATTATAATTATAAACACAGATAATAATGGTAGCCCTGAGAACGCTGAGAATCTCATGACCTGACATAACGGGGGAAGCTGACCCGCACTTTGCGGGCATGCACTCAGTCCTTGAATGACAGCCCTGAGACATAGCAGTGTGTGCGGTGCCTGCGGGGCCCTCGCCAATATTC